TTAAGATAACTCAGAGAACTTTGCTAGAGAGACTTAGAGGGGGAGAAAATCAATTTTTGACTGACCTGGTGGTTTTGTCACTGGCCCCTGTGACCTGTGACCCCTCGGAATTTCGTCGATTTCGGACCCCCTGTGACACGTGACCGACAAATTGATTGGATTAGTACAGTATTTCTTTACATTTGTTTGCCCTCTTTGAACAATAGGCATACCAGTTGTCAAAATATAAATTGCCCTAACAGTTTGTTGTAATCACATAAAAGGTTAAAAAATGATTAATTTGTCCGGGGATTTGTCAAAGGCTCCGCTTGCCCGATCGTCCCTTGTTCAAGGTGAGAGTCCACACGCTTGCAAGTCAACGTGACCACCCTAACTGGGAGGGATTCAGGCTTGGTTCAGGCTGTCGTTTAGGATTACCTAGGAGGTTGATGATACGTCGACTGAGGATCATGGGGTGCATAGGGCGAAGGACAGTGCGCCGTTCAGTGTTGGATTCTAAGGGGTTATTAACCCCCAGAATTTTGGCTAAGGCTTAGGTCTTAGTTACAGGCCTTAATCAAGACTTGATTCTAAGGGGTTATTAAGGCTCTGCCTAAAAATAGATTATTTTGTTGGTCCTTCAAAATCATCACCTAAGGCCTCTAATTTTCTTATCATCTGGTACATATTCTCTGGTACATATTCTCTCCTCATCTGCCTCCTCATCTGCCAAAAAGTCATCAATTGGGCTTCCTCCATGTATGACTGCCACCTCTGATTTTGTGTCATCTGTACTGTCCATCAATAATTATCAGTTTATTTTCAGCTATGACAGTGCACAAGAATGTGGACCTGGTTCTGCTGGGTGCCAGTGATAAAGTAGTTTTGCCTCACCTGCAGCCTGCTCATCAATATCAGATTTTTTTTGGCCATGAAAAGAAAAGTATGCATGGATAGGGGACCCAACTTGCTTGGTGCCAGGGATAAAGTGTTTCCAAGAGTAAATTTGCAATTTGTCCATCTGATTTATTCCACATAGTACTTGTGGTCACAAAAAATAACAGGGCACATGAGTTGGCGCATCGTGAAGTTGATGGTGTGTGCAGCCCATTTTAGCAGCTAAAGGAGGTCATACCCAATTCTAATTTTGTAGATAATATCTCTCATATTCCCTCAATGTGAATGTATAGTTTTTTCCTGGATATCCTACCGGCTTAATGCATAAATGTAGAATTGTTGTCTAAGTCGAGCGAGGTGTGTGAGTGCACCCAAGCACATGCCCTGTTACTTTTTGTGACCACAAGTAGTCATATTCTCTTGGCACACCTTTCTAAGGCTTAACTAAGACCTATTGAAAACTCTGACTGATGCTAACCCTTAGCCTTAGAATGAATTTAAGCCTTAAACCTTATTAACCCCTAAGCCTTAAGTTCAACACTGGCATAAGGGGTCACAGTTTAAGATCAAGGTTTTTGGTGAAGATATATGCGGCTGCTCTCATTTGAAATCAACAAAGCTTTTGAGAAAGGTTGATGTCCAAATCACCACCAATGAACTTGTAGTTACCCAGGGATAAGATACCTTAGATATGTTTAGAGACTCTTTATGTATGTTTTACGCCTATATTGATGGCAATGTATATTCTTGACCTTATTGCGAGACAATCACTATTTATAACTGGCTTAGTCAGCTCAAGCCAGCTTCTTAGCTGGAGCCGAAATTAGCCGAGCCGTGGGAGTCATCACTGAGGTCTTATCAGTGCCCCCCTAATTCCTGCAGGAATCCGGTCATTCCTGCGGATTCCGGTGGATTCCGGAGGAATGAAATTTGGCAGGGAGGCCTGCTATTTTTGTCATTCCGGTGCCTTACCATTCCGGCGGAATTTGGGCATTCCGGAATTGACACCGGAATGTTCCGCAGGACTGACAGGAACGGAATGGAACGGAATCCGGTCCTTTGTTTGTTTATTTTACTTCTGTTACCAAACAACGGCAACGTTACCAAACAAATGCAATACCCTTTCCTTTCCACCCACCACCAACCACATTGACAACAGCGACAACGACGACAACACCACATGACCAACAACGGCCACGACCACCCCAGCAACAAACGGCGACGACCACGGCCAGCGACGTGGCAACGAAATGGACAACGACAACGACAACGACGTGGCGCCAGCACCATCCACGAGCGCCGACCACCATCCACGAGCACCTCCATCAACCAACGGCGACCAGCGCCCACCACTATCCACGAGCGCCCACCACGCGAACGCCGCGATGCCACGTCACCAACCAAACGAGGCCCCACGGCACCAACGATGGCTCCAACCACGACCACCACACCAGCCAGCCACGAACAACACACCACGCACCCACCAGCACCCTCAAACAACGCCGACCAGCGCCCACTGCCACCCAGGAGTGCCCACCACCACCACGATCAACAAACGGCGAGCAGCACCCCACCAATGACCACGACCACGACAACGACAACGTCCACGTCCAAACGACGACACGCGACGACGACAACGC